GCAGGGCACAGGCCCGGCTGTGGGGCAGGGCATGGCAGGGTGTGGGGGCGTGGGACAGAGCGTGGCCATGGGTTGTGGGGCTGGGGCATGAGGCTGCGGTGCGGAGCATGGCTATGGGGCAGGGCAGGGGGGAATGGGTAGGTCCTGCAGCTGTGAGCTGGGCATTGAAAGGGGGGGATGAGGACTGGGAGCTGTGGGGTAGGTGTGGGGCAGCAGCTAGGGTGAGGGGCTCTAGGGGCGAGGCGGTGGCGGGTGTGGGTAGATGCAGGGCTGTTGCGAGCTGGGGTGAAGGCAGAGTCGTGGGGTCTGTGGGGTGGGTCAGGGTTTTGGAGGGCTGGTCTAGAGCATGGGGTGAGATTGAAGGTGTTGGGCCAGCGGCTGGCCTGGAGCAGGGGATGGGGCTTCGGGGTGGGGGATATGGCATGGGATGTGTGAGCTGACGGGAGCACGAGGCTGCAGGCCCTGGCACCGGAGGTTTGGTGTGCAGTGGGAGCTGCTGTGGGTGGTACTGGGTGTGACTGGCCGGGGGGTGGCTATGGCTGTGTGGCAGAGAAGGTGACAGTGGGAAGGAAGCTCCTGGCCTTGCCGAGATGCTGTGGGAGATGACTGATGCACTGGCTTTGCTGGCCCCTGCTTCTGGGGCCCAGGCTCTGACTACCCTCTCTGTGGTTTCTCCTCCTTTCCTGGCACGGCTTGAGGCATTTGGTTTCCTTGGATAATTTGTCTTTCTGCTTGGAGCAGCGATTTGGTGACTTTGTTACTTTAGGGAATTTGCAGCTTCAGGAATGTGGCTTTTTAAGGATAAGGCAGCGCATTTGTGTTTCTAGGCATTGGCTTCAGCGTGTTTTGAAAAGGAGTTGAGGGAGCAGAGAATGACTACGTAGGCTACATTACATGGAGGGGTAGCTTATAGACCTTTCCCAAGACTGATGGATTGTGAAGTGATCCGTGGTACCTTGGTGACAAGATGAGCTGGCAAAACGGGAAGATAACCTGGTGGTCCGTGTAATGCAGAGTGAAGAAAATACCAAGGAAATTTGGGGGAATTCACTAAACTATGTGACATTCAAGATGTTGCAAAAGAGTTGCACAAAGCCTCCGACGTATTTGGGATGGGGGGGGGGATAACCTTACAACTACTGTTGTCATCTGTGGTCATGTTACAGAAGTGCCTGCAGAAAGCTTTGTCTCTTTGAAGACGTACAAAGAGAAGAGCCACCCCCCACCCCCACCCCCGTTCTCGTCAGCCGTATGGCACTTGTAACAAACCTACCTTGACAAGCGAGGGAGCCGGCAAGTGTTCTTTGGCCCCTCTGACCTCGTATAGAATCACACATCAGAAAGTATTAAATTGCATCACGTATCCTTGAGCGAAAGGGGAGGTTTTTTCTAACCTTGTGGCCATTGTGCAATTGTTGGAAGAAACACGTTGAGCTTCTCCCATGTGTTGCTGAGTACTAAATTGAGTGTAACTTGGCAAGTGGAAGAAAGGCCTCGGTGCTGTCACAGGCAGCTCGGGCTGCACGTGTCAGTGAGTGGCAGAAGGAGGCTGAACTCGTTTTTATTAAAAGATGGGGAGAGAAGGATACTGCTGTTACAGAAATCCATCACACACTCCCGTGAATGCCATGCTCACATTTTGAGAGTGTGGGGAAGACAAGAATGGAAAGTGCGCAGAAGTGATTAATGTCTAGAAGGACACTGCATGAAAGGGGGGAAGAGGTGTCAGGAAAGGGAGTGGACTGATTCCGAGTAATAATGAAGCAAAGGGTAAATGGCTTGCTTCTGTTTAGTCTCTGGGACTACAGGAACAGCAGAATAGGAAAGCAGCCCCTCCTGGTAAAGGGAGTGCTGGGATTCCAGGTGCGTAATTAACCTTGGGAACCTGCTGCTGCCAGATGTGGAGGCAGAAGTTTCACAGGCTCGCCACTGTGCCCGCCGTGCTGATGAGGCAGGTCCAATTATAGCTGTGCTTGCGCTTAAGCTGTGGCCTGCGCGGCTCTGCCTGCGAGCAGGTCGCGCTGTCGGGGCTGGTGTGGTCACTCACACGAGGCGAAGCTGGTCGCACCTCCGGGTCCCTGAGAATAGAGTGAGTTCTCTCGCCATAGCCAAGCAAAGGGGCTGCTAACCACGGGGAGCATTGATAGCCAACTGCGGTTTGATCATTACACTTCAGCTCTTTCCTGTTGATTAGGAAACCAGCTGCTTTGTGTAGCTGCTGCTTTCGATCTCTGAAAAAGCAGAGAGGCAGAGTGCTTGGCTGTGGAGATAGTGTTTGTCTCGGACCTTCTCCACGGTGGTTCAGAGGCACGAGGGCTTTTTGTGAGCTTGCAGAGCGGGATGTTGAGACGCTGGGTGTGAAGGGGCCGTACGAGCTCTCCTGGCAGCCCACTCTGCTTTGTGCCGGTACACAGCACCTGCTTGCGGTTGCACTGTTGTTCTTCTGCAAGAAATTTTGCCAGCACCTTATGGCTGTTGCTCGAGGCACCCCCTGCTCAGCCTGTGCCTGTCAACTCTGTGGCTTGCTGGGCTCCTCTTCTTCCTCACAGCTCCCCTTATCTGTTCTGTCCCTCAGTCCAGGCTCCCTTTCCCTGCTGTGCCAAGTGGGATTGGAAGCTCTATCCCTGGAGCCGGGGCTGCCTGCTGTCAGAAAACATTGTCATCCCTTCTCCCATCCCCAGAGACCCCTCTCTGATGAACAGTGTGACTTAATACTGGAATTAACTGCTTTAGGAAGAGCCAGTAAATGCTTGCAACAGCAGGAGACACTAGCTGAGACAAGGCCTGGGAAAGCCCCGAATGAAACCTTAGGCTTCTGAGGGGGTGGGTGCCCTGTCAGTTGTGTAGGCAAGACTTCAGCAGGGCAGAGGGATGAACAGAGCCCTCTGGAGCGCCCAGAAGTGCTCCTGGGCAAAGACAGTGAGGCTCGGTGACTGGAAGGTGCTTTTTTTGTGGAGGAAAGCTGTTTTGTCCAGGTGGAGAGTGAGGGGTGCTGCTTGTTTCCCAGCAATGTCCCTTGCCACCTGAGCTACAGGTTAGAGGGCTGAAGGTAAGGCAGTCCCTTGCCTCCCACCCCATGTCTGACCACAGGGGGACACAGAGCTTTCCTACTGGGAAGGTGTCACATTGGCGGTGAGTGGTGGGAGTGGAGAACCTGCCCTTCTGCCAAGGCTCTTGTAGGATGCAGCAGGTCCCTACCAAAGCCTCCCGAGGAGTGACTCTTTCCCCACTTGAGTTGCAAGAATATTGAGGCAGGAGGTGCGTGAGGCAACCTGGCAGGGTGTCTGAATCAGAGCTGGAAATAGACTCCAGGAGTCCCAATGCTTCGTCTTCCTCTGACCACAAAGCTGCCTTTCTCCTTGCCCTCCATCTTGGAGGGAGTTTGTGCAGGTCTTGCTCAGCATAGCGTGGGGGTGGCGGAGCCAAGGTGGGAAGCTGGGTGATCACTAGCGTCTGGGCTGTTTGCTCTGCCACTTCTCCCTCAGGAAGCACCTGGGGAGCTGCCCTCTGTCTCCTCCTGGCTTGCTCATGTTAGAGAAGCGTTTTTTGGCGTCTCAGCGAAGTGGAGCACAGCATGGCTGCTTCTCTCGGGAGCCATGCGTTGGTCGCGGTTGCAGCCAGGCTGCGGGGAGAGGGTAGAGGCAAAGTGCCGGCAAGTTCACCCCTTGCTGCCTGTTCTCAGCTCTGATCCAGTCGAGTCAGCTCTCGGTCCCAGACGTGTTCGCAGGCAGGGCTGGAGGCAGCTCCACCAACTGGGTGCACATGGCTCCTTCGGTGCTTAGTGAGGTGCCGGCACCCGGCCAGCCTTTCCCGCTGCGGTGCTGGGCCCTTCCCAGCATCTGTCTCCGGTGCCATGCCTGACTGATGGTCTGGCAGTCTCTTCAGTTCACTCTCTTTACCTCCTTTCTCCAGGGGTGAAAGATGGAAGCTGGACTGTGCTGCAGCTTGTGGAAGCCCTGGGGTAAGGAAAGCCTTATACATGTTACACATCGCGTAAGGGCCTTGCAGGGGAGATTCCCACAGAGGGACAGTGAGAAGGAAAAGTGTGCATGCTTGTCCAGGACGAGCTAGCTTCAGTGCTGGTAGACACACCACAGCACACAGGCCTGCAAGGATGTTGTCCGCTCACAGCGCAGGGCCTGAGTGGTGCTTTGCCCTCTCAGGATTTGGGAGCTGTTTGGGAAAGAGCAAGGCCGGAGTAGCTCTTGATACTCTCCCAGGACTGAGGAGAGGTGTTGTGGCAGGCAGTGAGCCGCAGGGCACTTCTCAGTTGGACTGTCCCCAGCAGGAGCTGCCTGAGCACACAGCTGCACATCACCATGTCACGAGTTGGCTAGCGCTCAGCTTTTGCTTCTGTCTGCGAGCTGTCGTGGCCTGGGACTCGGGGAGGCTCGTTTCTCCCAAGCTGGGGGCTGGGTTTGCCTCGTTGTAAGAGGCTTTGCCCTTTTTCAACCCTTGTCATCTTGGGAGCCTGAGTTTCAGGTGCAGAGCATGGTGCAAGAGCAATTTCTTTGGTCTGACTTGAGAACTTGGATTTATTGCTCCGTGGCTCTGGGGACGGGTATATGCGTGCAGCATAGTCAGGGGAAGAGGATTCTGCTCCCACCCTGCCAGCCAGTCAGGCAGGACTGGGCCACCGCCCCCCTGCCCAGAGAGCGGCACCTCTTTGTTTTTATAATGTGTCTGCTCAGGATGTGCTTCCTGCTTGGGTGTCCCTGCTCACAACAGGCCTCTTGGGCTTTCTCCCCACTTGGGCTAGCTCTTGCCTGGAGAACACAGATCCTCGGACGCGAGGGCGTGGCATCCAGCTGCTGTCACAAGTCCTGCTCCAGTGTTACTCCCTGCTCCAGGAGAAGGAAGGTAAGGGCTGCTCTGCGCTCCTGAGTGGCTGCCGGCAGGTTGGGGGCAAAGCCTGTGCCACTCAAGTGTCTGTCCTGCAGTTGGCAAAGGGATTGATTTAGCACCACGACAACTTTGTACATGTCTCTCGAGTCAAAGTCCAAGGAGGGCACGGGGCCTCACGCTGCAGCCTTTTTGCCAACCTCACCACACAATTCGGGTCACTCCCTGAACACGCCAAAGCCCTGGCGCTGCAGCTGGTGCCCCCAGCAGTGTGTGGGTGTTGCACACCCAGGCGTGCTCAGCACCACGTGGGACGCCTTGGGGACACATCTGCATGTCAAAATCCTTGGGTGGTGATTCAGTGCAGGAAAACCATCCTTCACAAAGCGAGTCGTGCTGCAGCCCTGTGGCCTGCCCAGCTTAACTCTGGGGGAACCCTGGGGCCTGGGGAGGAGGGGGGATCAGCGTAAGGATGAGAGTGGAGTGGAGGACCGGAGTGGGGAGAGGAAGATGCCCCGTTCGAGGAGGCAAAGAGAAGGTCTGCCTGTGTTAAATGCCCCATAGCAACTGGCTGGCAGCAGGGGAAGCCAGTAAGCGCTGCCAAACTTTGATTTGGACTGGGGGCCTTGCTGATGGGTAGCTGAACCTGTGCCAGCAGGCTGGCAAGGCAGGAGGGCCCAGCTAGTAAGTGAGGTGGAGGAAGGGAAGGATGGAAGTAAAAGGTGCTTAGTCCTTGGCATTTGGCTCTCTGTAAGTTTCACACTGGTGCCAGGCAGGGCCAAGAGCAGCTGTGCAGAGAGGGTATGGACAGACTAACTACTGATGTAGCTGGAGTCGGGTGTGATGACTGTGATGGGGACTGGGGCGCTCCGGAGGGAGAGCTGGGGTGGGGAGGCCTGGCAGAGTCAGGGCAGCTGGGTGAGGGGAGCGAGCTGGGTTAGAGCCAAGTCACCAGGAGCTCTGGAGGAGGGTGGGCAGAGCCAGCTTCCCGGGAGGGCGTAGGCAGCTGCTGTGACACCCCCAGCTGGCCCTGTCTCCCTTCGTGTCCCTCCTCATGCAATTCATTTCTCAAGCGCTGCGTCAGGCTGCCTCCTGGGGGGGTGAGTTTCTGCAGCAGCTGTGGGCACAGGATGCTGCTAGCCGGCTCTTCCAGTCTGCTTCCTGCTGCCACTCCCCAGGGCCGGGGTGTGCAGGCGCCCATGGCCGTGACTCAGGGGCCGGGAACGTGTTGTGGAGCCAGCGCGGGGAAGCCGGAGCTCCTGCTCCAGCCCTGCGCCCCACCCCACGACATCGTCCAGCCTCGGCTGAGCAGGCGTCTGCCGCTTCACTGCTGGTGTCTGCACCCACGTGTCTGGACAGGCCAGGGCAAGTGCCTTTCGGGTAGCTCCAGCACCTCTGCAGCGGCCAGAGGTGGGTGCTGCCCTGCTGCGGTCAGATGTGGGTTGCTCACAGGGGGAGGGCAAAGGTGTTGGAGCCAGGTGGATGCACCCAACAGTGGCAGTTAATCCCATTCACCAGTGTGAGATATGCTTGCTGTTCATCCGGCAGCTGCTTTTGGCAGAGCTGGGGCCAGAGCCCGGCAGCTGCATTTCCTGGGACTAACACACGTTGGTGTCTGTTTCTGATAGTGCTGCACCTGGTCCTGTTCTATGAGAATCGGCTGCAAGATCATCACCTCGTGATCCCCTCGGTGCTCCAGGGACTCCGAGCACTGGTGAGCTCGCGCCCCCCAGCCTGCAGCACTGGGATGTGCTCCAGAGTGGTGCTGGGGAGGTGCAACACCAGGGTACAGGTTGCAGCAGGATGTCAAGCACGGCCCGGCTGGGCTGTCAGCTCCTGCCTGGTGGCATTGCCCTGTCTCCTCAGTGCTCCTGCTGTGCCCCTTGCAGAGGGGCAGGAGAGAGGAGACTGCCTTGATTTCCTGCCCCATGCTGGTGTTGGGACAAGGATTCCCTGGTCACCCTGGGGAGCAGCGTAGGTGATAGGTATCCTGTCCTGTCCTGTCCTGTGGGGGTGGTGAGCTCTCCCCAGGGTAGGAGAGGGTCCTGCATGTGGCTGCTGTACAGAAGCAGGAGCTCTGTTTTATGTCTGCCATCATGGTTTTCTCTCTTGCTTTTCTCTTTTCCTGTCCTCAGAGCATGTGTGAGGTGCTGTCCCCGGGGCTAGCAGTGTCTGTGCTCAAAGCTATCTTCCAGGAGGTACACGTGCAGGTGAGCAATGTGATTTCCCATCCTCCTGTCCCTGCTCTCTGGGTGTCTGGGGATGGCCTGCCTGCCCTGAGGACTGAGTTGCATTCAGTAGTAGTGCAGTGTAGCACATCCTTCAGCAGCAGTGCAGTGCTCCTGCGGAGCTTAGAGACAGCGTGTCTCTCTGCAGAGAGAGAGGCAGACAACAGCTGAGGATCCTGCTTGGCCCTTGTCCTCTCTTCTCTCGGCCCTGGGGCAGTTATTTCTTTTGCTCTGTTCTCCAGGCTGTGTTTAAGTGCCCCCAGCCCCCAAATTCTCCTCCAATTTAAGATTGTTTATGCTGGCAGGGCCTTGGGCAGCATGTGTGGCCCTGGTGTGACTGTGATGGTGCATTCATACAGTGATGGACACAGTCATGTTCAGGTGCCATTGCATAGGCATGCGCGCACTTTGCATGTGGTAAATGGGATCTGCATGTCAGGAAGCAGCAGCTGAGCTGCTGGGGATCCTGCCCTCTTCTCAAGGGCATGCGCTGCCCCTGGGTGGTGGGTAGCAGTGCTGCCACGTGCAGAGGCTTGTTCTGATTGCTCTGCTCCTCCCTCCAGTCCCTGATGCAGCTGGACCGCCACACAGTCTACAGCATCATCACCAACTTCATGGGCACCAGGGAGGAAGGTGAGGGGGCAGATGCCAGAACCACTGTGGGGTTGCCCAGGCTGGGAAAATGGCTCGCTATCACCTTCTCCGAGGTCTCTGTGGCTCTGCCTGGGGAGAGCTGGAAGGGCTGTGGGGCTGGGGAAGCCAGGCTGGTTTCATTGCATGTTGGTGAGGTCTGGTGTCCTGCACCTGCTCACACTCCTTCTTTTTGCAGAGCTGAAGGGCCTGGGTGCCGACTTCACGTTTGGCTTTATCCAGGTGATGGACGGGGAGAAGGATCCCCGCAACCTGCTGGTGGCCTTCCAGATCGTGCATGATCTCATTACCAAGAACTACACCCTGGGTGAGCCTGTGCCTACCGTGCAGAGCTGATCGGGGAACATGTTGCTTTTCTTTGAGCTGTTGGAGGGATGGACCTTGGGTCTGACCAGGGCTGAGGTTGTCCCTGACATGCTTTAGGAGCTGCAGAGCCAGCCTGTCATGGGTGCTGGGCATGGCTGCTGTGCCTCTTTTGCCCAGCATCTCTGCTCACTCCCTCTCTCCTCTCCCTGCAGGTCCCTTTGTGGAGGAGCTGTTTGAAGTGACATCCTGCTACTTCCCCATTGATTTTACTCCAGTGAGTGAGTCTGTCCTGTGCCACAGTCTATTCCTTCTGGTGTTTTCTCAGGCGGTTGTGTCCCCTCCAGGGAATGGGAGGAGAGGGCGGGCAAGAGTCTTGGCTGGGCAGTGTTGAGCTGCGAGCTGTGGTACCCAGGCTGGCAGGCCGGTGCCAAGCTGGCTGCAGTGACTGGCATCGCTGCTGCCTTGCTGGAGATGAGGTGATGCAGCCTCAGCTGATGGCTGGGTTGGAGGTTTCCTGACCGGTGACCTGCTCTCTGTGCTTCCCTTCCAGCCCCCCAATGACCCTCACGGCATCCAGAGAGAAGACCTGATCCTCAGCCTCCGGGCCGTACTGGCCTCCACACCCCAATTTGCTGAGGTAGGAAGCTCCTAGGGGGTTCTTGAACACCCCACTGTTCCCTGAGCACAGGATGCATTTCATAGTGCTGCAGCTCCCGCTGTGGCTCCGTGGGATGGGAACAGCTGGGACCAGGAGCATGCACTAGGGCAGCCCTGTCTCCTGCTGGGGCTGGGCATGGGGAGGGTGCTGACGCTGACACCCTGGGAAGGGGCTGCCTGTTGCAGGTATCCCTCCACCTCTGCTCTCCTGAGAGAGGCTGAGCTTGCAGCCCTGCAGGGCTGTGGACAAGGTGGTGCAAAGGTGGGCTGAGTCTAAGTGCCTCTCTCTGCAGTTCCTGCTCCCTCTGCTCATTGAGAAGATGGACTCAGACCTGCAAAGTGCCAAGCTTGACTCCCTGCAGACTCTGGTAAGGAGAGATCCCCTACTCCCTTCAGCCCACAGCTGGCCTGTGGCAGCAGCAGTCAGCCACTTCTGAGCCCTTCTCCCTGCCAGCCAGAGACTCTCCCTTGCAGAGCCACAATTTCCAGGGTCCTAGTTCGGCCTGCATCACTTTTTCCTCTTTTTCTCTTCCCTTGAGTGGTTCATGCAGTTCAGCATGAGCCTGCCAGGATGGGCAGTGTCCCTGCTCTGTGTCTCCCGGTACTGGCTTCTCTCTGATGCTTTCTCCTGGCTCCCTCTTGCAGACTGCCTGCTGTGCCATCTACGGGCAGAAGGAGCTGCAGGAATTCCTCCCCAGCCTCTGGTCGTCCCTGCGCAGGGAGGTGAGTACCGCAGGGCCCCTTACAAATGCTCCACCACAGTTGGGCTCCTGCTGAGCAGGAGATCACAGCCAGATCAGGCAGGCCCCATATCTCCCAGCAGCCCCCACCTTGGACAGACCCAGCTGGAAAGTGGGGGGACAGGCCAGCCCTATCAGTGCGTCCCTGGGGCTTGGATGTGCTCCGCTGCATGTTCGAAGCACATGGGAAGCGAGGCGGGAGCCTGAGCCCTTCAGCCCATGTTGGGAGTGTCAAGCCTGCGGTTGGGGTCAGCACAGAGCTTAGCTCATCCTACGGCCTCTCCTGCAGGTGTTCCAGACAGCAAGTGAGAAGGTCGAGGCGGAGTGCCTGGCCGCACTGCACAGCCTCTCTGCCTGCCTCTCCCGCTCCGTGCTCAGCTCTGACACCGAGGACCTGCTGGATTCCTTCCTTGGCAGCATCCTGCAAGGTAGCTAGCAGAGAGACCTACCCTGCCCTGAGCAGCCAGGCCTGCAAGCACCCTCCTAGCTGGAGATCTGCCCTCCTGTTCTCTTTGAAGCCTCTTCTCTTTCTAGCTCTCACAGCCACCGTTGGTTTCTCCAAGGGAATTGGCTGCAGAAAGGGAGGAGAGAGGGGCACAGTAGGCGATGCCTATTGGATTGAGTTGCTTTCCTGCCTGCTGGGATTAGGGCGTCCAAGGCTGTGCTGTGCGCTTGGAGCTGGGGGAAGCACCTCTGTTAGGGAGGCTGTGCGGCAGCTCAAAGCTGTGCCCCGGCAGCACGTCCCAGCCCAGACATCAGCTTCATCCCCGCACGCGAGGCAGAGGAGCTGTGCCGGTGCAGCTGACGCCCAACCTATCTCAGATTGCAGGCACCATCTGTGCGAGCCCGACATGAAGCTGGTGTGGCCAAGTGCCAAACTCCTGCAGGCAGCAGCAGGTGCCTCCCTCCGTGCCTACCACCGCGTCACCCGCAGCGTCCTGCCCCTGCTGCTGGAGCAGTACACCAAGCACCCGCAGGTGAGGGGCACCCCGGGCTCTGTGGTCACAGACAGCAGGGCTGAGTGCACCCGCTGGCTCTGCAGGGCTTGGTGGGAGCAGGGTGTCAAAGTGGATGTCCTTCCCTGGCTGTGGGCGGGGGACCCTGTGGGCACCCTCTGGCCTCGCAGCGCTGGGCTGAGGTGTAGCTGTGTCCCAGCAGTGACGGTGATCTGGGTTATGCCTTTGTGTCCCTGCAGAGCAGCCAGAGGAGGACAATCTTGGAAATGCTGCTGGGCTTCCTGGAGTTGCAGCAGAAGTGGGGACATGTGGAAGAAGGTGAGGCTGGCTGGTCCCTCTGGAGGCACCCGTGTCCCAGGGGGCTGCTGGCTCTGACCTCACCTTCCCGTATGCTGACAGAGAAGGAAAGCTCACTGACCTGGGCGGCTGCATGTGCAACCCCCTGCCGTGTCCCAGGGCCCCTGCATGGTTGGGTGTCAACTGGCAGGGCCCCAGAAAGGGTCTGTCAGGTGCCGTGGTGGTGGCTGTGCGGTGACAGCCAGACGCAGGCAGTGACTTCGTGCCTCTCTCTCCAGATGAGAGCACTCTGCTGTCACTCCGAGCCCCGATTTGCTCTGTGGTATTCTCGGCGCTGACGGATCCCAGTGTGCAGCTGCAGCTCGTCGGGATCAGGGCACTGATTGTCCTGGGCTCCCTGCAAGGTTGGTGCCTCGTTTCCCTTAGAGAGGCAGAGGGAGGTGTCACCCTGTTCTGGGAGACACGGTGCCACGTGGCTGCTGGGATGTCCTTTGCCTGCCGCCTGTGCTGCCTGTAGGTGCACAGGAGAGTGGCAGTGCTTCCTACCCAGGCCATGAGCTCCAGGGACACTTGGTCTCTCTCTTGCCTGTTTGTGCTGGGCACCCTGTATCTCTGGCGTTTGGCATGCTGCTGCGTTGCTGCTAGCCTGGATGAGGGTCTCTTGTTGCAGGCTTCCTGTCTCCCTCTGACCTGGAGCTGGTTGTGGATCACCTCATCCGTCTCGCTCTGCATGAGGAGGATTCCCAGAGCAGGTGAGGGGCAGGCTGGCACCATCGCAGTCACCCACGCTCTGGGGAAAGGAGCAAAGCCTGGCTTTGCTGCAGAGAGGTGCTGTAGTCTGGGGGAAGGCACAGGAACTGTCTGAACTAAAAGACCATGTGGGTGTAAGAGCAAAGGGGTAAACCAGGCGATTTCTGTGCTGGAAATTAGAAAGTCTGGGCCTGTCAAAGTAGGGGGCTCTGCTCTGCCTGCCAGTAGGGTGAAAGGCAGATTGCTGAGAAATGGGTTTCTGGAGGCATCTTCTGGCCCAGATCTTTGCAGCTGGTGTACAAGCAGCCCAGGGTTTGCAGTGCTCACATCACCCCTCCTGCTCTCTTGCCCCCTGGCAGCGAAGCAGCGATGGAGGCAGCTGGATCTCTGGCCCCCCTCTACCCAAAGGTTTTCTCTGGACGCATGGTACCCAGGCTTGAAGAGGAGCTGCAGTCAGGTAGGGCTGGCGGCCTTGGGAAGGGAGTGATGTCTGGTTTTGGGGTGAAGCCTGTCCCATCCCCGTTTGGCTCCTACCAGCCAGCAGGGCTGTGCCACACAGCATAGGTCGGTGGCTCTCCTTCTTGGGGGATTCCCAGCACAGGCACTGTGGTGCTGGCACAGAGAAGGCCATGCCTGGTGCTGGCAAGCAGCCTGCACGGCCGGGATCACCCTTGCAGTGAGGAGCTGCCTAGCCACATAGCAGGCAGAGTGCCTTGGGCCTGGCACAGGCTAGTTCTGCTGTGCTGCTTCACCCCATCCACCCTGGCAGGGTCTGGGCCCTGAATGCCCTTGGGTGAGGGGGGCGTGGGGTCACCCCAACACCCTTCTGAGGTGTGTTTCCTCTTCAGAGCGGGAGGAGGAGAGCTCCCGCGACCACTGCTCCCTGCAGCAGCGCTGCCTGCAGGCCCTGGCAGCCGTGTCTATCCACACCAGCATCGTGAGGGAGACTGTCCCTGTCCTGCTGCAGCATCTCCGGAAGGTGCAGAAAGGTAATGCAGCCCACGACGGGCAGCTGCACGGAGCACGTCTGGGCAGGAGCTGCCTCCGTTACCAGGGATGGCTGGGAGGGAGTGGGGATGGCAGTAGGGTGAGGCCCCCGGGGCCGGCTGTGAATCCCACCAGTGGAGGGGGGAGTAGGGAGGGCTGCATTGCACCGGGATCCCGGTGAAGATCGGGGTGGGGGTGCTGCGGCTGTTTGATGTGACGATGACTGTGCCCTGCAGGGAGCAAGGCCAGGAACACCCAGGACGTGGTCTCTGTGTGCCAGAGCCTGCACCGTGTGGCCCTGCAGTGCCAGCAGGATGCGGAGGGTTGCTGGTACTACCACCAGACAGTGGTGCCCTGCCTGCTGGCCATGGCTGTACAGGCTGCCACGCAAGGTAGGTGGGGGGCTGGAGCGGGAGAGGGGAGAGCAGGCAGTTCCCCGGGCTCTGGGGTGTCCCTGATCCTGCAGCCAGCGCTGCTGCTGCCGCCCTCCGGCAACCGCGGGCACTGCGGGCCCCGCTGCCAGAGGCAGAGCAGCCCTGCCCACAGTAGGCGTGGGTCAGGGGGCTGTGCCTGCCTCCTCCCTCTGGGCAGCGGGTTGCAGCTGTCCTTCTCCTCCCGCTGCCTGCAGAGAGCACCCACCCGCTGCTGGGCAAGGCACTGCTGGAGGAAGAGGTGCTGGCTGCCATGGTCCCCGTCATCAGCGCTGCCACCACTCACCTGAGCCCTGAGTGAGTGATGCTGGGGCGGGACGCTGGGCACTCCATCGTGGGGAGGGGGCAGGCTGCGTCCCCTCCACTGCTGTCTGTACAGGGAGACCCTGCGCCTCCTGGGAGGTACCCAGGAGCTCTCTGGTGACCCTCCCAGAGCAGCACATTGCGATGTCTCCTTTCTCCTAGGCTGGCTGCCCAGAGCGTCTCTCACGTGGTGCCCCTCTTCCTGGACGGGGAGGTCTCCTTCCTGCCCCAGAACAGTTTTCCCTGCTCCTTCCAGCCCTTCGAGGTGTGTTGGGTGCTTGGGGCTGGGATGCTGGAACAGGGGCCGGGAATGAGGATGTTGGCATAGGCTGGCAGCAAGGACCATGATGACACGGGCACTGTTCTTCCCCTGCAGGATGGGGAGTGCTTGGAGGCACAGAGACGTCTGGTCGTCCTCCTCATGGCCTTCGTCTGCTCCTTGCCCCGCAATGTAAGTTGGTGGGGAGCAGGGTGGAGAAGGAGCCCTGACCGAGCGCCCTCCTGACTGGGTCCACAGCAAGCTCCATGGGCAGAAGAAGGGAGCAGCTGCGGCCCCGGGCTGTAACATGCTCCATGTCTCTTCCAGGTGGCAATTCCTCAGCAGGAACGGCTGCTCCGGGAGCTGCTGGCGCTGAGCTGCTCCTGCAACTGCCCCTTCACAGCCACCACAGCTGCCAAGTGCTTCGCAGGGCTGGTGAACAAGCACCCGGCGGGTAAGGGGGCTGGGCAGGACACTGTGGGTCCCTGCTCACTGCTGGCAGGGGAATGGCTCAGCCTGTCCCTTCTGTGTTCCCAGGGCAGCAGCTGGATGAGATCCTGCAGCTTGCAGTGAACAGGATGGAGCCCGGCCTTGCGGAGGGGCCCCGCCGAACACAGGCACTCACCCTGCTGCTCTGGGTAAGGCCTGCCCTGGATGCGGGACGGGGGGAGAGACAGGGGGGACGGCCTGGTGCTGACTCTGCTCTGCCTGCACAGGTGACCAAAGCCCTGGTGCTGCGCTACCACCCCCTGAGCTCCCGCCTGACGGACAAGGTAGGCAGCGGTGGGGCTGGGTGATGTCCAAGGAGCCTGCCCACTCCCCCTGCGGCCGGCTGGGACCCCCCCAGCAGCAGGGCGCCCTGTCTCAGGGCTCTCTCCCTCGCAGCTGCTGGGCCTGCTGGGCGACGTGGAGCTGGGCCCCGCTGCGGCCGATGGCTTCTCCCTGCTCATGGCCGAGTCCCCGGACGTGCTGCACAAGGACTGCCACGCTGACGTGCGCATCATGTTCCGCCAGCGCTTCTTCACTGACAACGTCCCCAAGCTGGTGCAGGGCTTCCACGGGGCTGGCCCCGGTGAGCGGCCACCCCCAGCCCGGCCTCGCCACCCCGTGACCCCTTACCCAGGGGACCTGAGCCAGCGTCCCCTCCTTCCCCTGGCTGCCTGTAACCATCTCTGCTCTCCACAGACGTGAAAGCCAATTACCTGAAGGGCCTGTCCCATGTGCTCAACCACCTCCCCAAGCCCGTGCTGGTGACGGAGCTGCCCACGGTGAGAGCCAGCCTTGGCAGGGGGGATTGTGGCAGTGCAGAGTGCACGGCTGGGAGTTACTCATGTCTCCTGTGTCCTCCCCACCCGCAGCTGCTCTCCCTCCTGCTTGAGGCTTTGTCCTGCTCGGACCGCGTGGTGCAGCTCTCCACGCTGAGCTGCCTCCAGCCCCTGCTGCTCGAAGCTCCCCAGATCATGAGCCTGCACGTCGACACACTGGTCACCAAGTTCCTCAGCCTCGCCTCCAGCCCCACCATGGTGCGTGTGCCCCCTTCTTCCCTCCCCACGCCCCTCTCCTCCGCCCCTGCCCCTTCCGCTGCCCTCACCCCTGTCTGTCTGTTCCAGGCTGTCCGCATTGCTGCCCTGCGCTGTGCCTATGCGCTTACCAGCCTGCCCACAACAGTGGTAAGTGCTCCCCGCAGCCTGCTCCTGCATGTAGAGGGGCAAGGGGGTACCAAACCTCCTCCTGGGGGGCAGCCAGCACCCAGCTCTCCCACTAAGAGCCCTTTCTGTCCTACAGCTGCTCCCGTACAAGGCCCGAGTTATCCGGGCGCTGGCCAAGCCTTTGGATGACAAGAAGAGGCTGGTGCGGAAGGAGGCGGTGGCAGCACGGGGGGAATGGTGAGTGCATGTGGCTGGAGCTGCTGGGGCGCTGGCATATTGGGGACATGGCTGATGGCACCATCTCTGCCCCCACAGGTTCCTGCTGGGGAGCCCGGGCAGGTGAACGCCCTGCATCCCCTCCCTGTGCTGACCGACAATCTGACCGGGCCCCCGCTAACCCATCCAACCGATGCCACAGACCCTTGGAGCCCAGTACTGCCCCGAGTGTCGGGGCTGGAGCATGGGGGCCGGCAGACAGCACCCCTCACTGCGGCACCTTCCCGGCACCTGCAGGAGGGAAGGAGCTGTGCCGCTCGTGGCTTGCCCCGCCTCTGCTGCAGGCAGGGACAGGG